GAATTGAATTGGGCATGGGTTGCATCTCGGATAATAGAGTCAATCTAACATTAAATTGTTGAAGTACCTTAGCTGGTGCCATGTCTCGGTGCGAAGTCACCAGTCAAAATGCCCAGGCTGCTGCTTGTGATTAGATATCAAATTGCTATGCCATGTCTGGATGCAAAATAACCAAGAAAATGGGTGAATTGAATCGGTAAAAATAACTGAGCTGCATCTCGGGTGATACAGCCGATTTAATATTGATTTGTTGCAGTCCTTTAGCTGGTGCCATGGCTGGGTGCAAAATGACTAAGCAGACAAGTGAATTAAATTGGTAGAAATGCCCGGGTTGCACATCGGATAATAGAACCGATTTGATATTCAATTGGTGAAGTCCTTCAGCTAATGCCATGTCCAGCTGCAAAGTTGCAAGTGAATGGATTCTCCCACCATCCCACCATCCCACCATCCTATCATCCCACCATCCCGCCATCCTACCATCCCACCATCCCGCCATCCCGCCATCCCGCCATCCCGCATCCCCCGCCATCCCATCATCCTTCCATCCTTCCATCCTTCCATCCTTCCATCCTTCCATCCTGCCCTCCTGTCATCAGCATTATATCTTGACCATTACTGGGCCACTTCTCTCCAAAAACCCTGCTAATTATATCTTGATGTAGTCTATGACATACTCAAAACAAGAACGTATAGTAGTGTAGTTGACATGCATCTCCCTCAATGTTCCCCATGGTATGTATACCTTTACTGTAGTCTCCCCAAAGCAGAAAGAATACAGTGTATATTATATATCCTTAATTTGTGGTAGCTCAGAATAGCCATTTGGGGTTCTGAGTATCTGTATTGCACAAAATGCCCAGAAGACATATAAATCCCATGGGAGTTCCAGAGGAATATGTTCAATTATTATTTGCAAGACATGAAGATATAAGGTTCTAATTGGAGAACTTACCTGGTAAATGGTGCATGGAGAGGAGGGAGGAATACATTGTATCCATTCGTTACATCACCACAGTTTCACCAATGAGAGTCAAAAGTGGGTTGGAGGTAGGGATGGGATAGCTAGAAAGAAGTTTAAAGGAATTACAGAGATTGACAAGACAAGATAATGATTTCAGAAGATTATATATGGAGCAGGACAATGGTACGTGGATAGTCACTAACATTCTAGCCATATCTCTGTATCCACCAAAACACATATTCAAAACATCCTGCCTTCCTTACCTGATCAATACTCTTTGAACAACCTACTAGCTACCCCAGCCTTAAGTGAACCCCACACCATATATAATAAACACCACCAAGATATGATTAGGAACTTGTTTGGAGAGAAATAGTCCAGTAACAGTGGAAATACTATACTCATGACTGGTGGGCAGAATGGGGGCAGGATTACACCTATTGGAGAAACTAGTGCCTGATTTAGTAATTGTCGGTCAACAATGATGGCATTGAGAGGGGGCACCAGGCGGATGGTGTGAAAGTTATAACTAACTTGTCTCTTTGGCATTGGTGTATGAATGGCTCCGAGCTCGGGGAACAACTCTCATGAGTTGTGTTATCTTGTCTGCTCGGTAATATTACACCCAGACTGAAATGATATGGATGCAACCCAGGCATGTTCAGTGATATACTTCACTTGTAGGCTCGGTAGTGGTCCACTTGAACAAAGCATGGTTGAAGTACTTCCGGGCGTTTTTACCAATTGAATCCACTCAGTTGTGGCTTTGCAGCCAGGCACAGGGGTGGCTGAAGGACTTTAATATTTAATCACTAGCATTACCCGGGGTGAGGCCTGGGCATTTTTGCTAATCTGGTTCACTTGTCTGCTTGGTGATTATGCATCTGGACATGGCAGCAGCTGAAATACTTGGACAGTTTAATATGAAATCGGTTCTGTCATCCAAGATGCAGCCTGGGCATTTTTACCGATTTAATGCACTTGTCTGCTCCATGATTTTGCACCCGGACCAACTAAGGTAATTCAACAATTTAATATGAAATTACCAGCATCACCTGACATGCAGCCCAAGCGTTTTTACCAATTTGGTTTATTTGTCTGCTGTGATCTCGCATCTGGACACGGCACCAGTTAAAGTACTTCACCAATTTAATATTAAATTGGCTCTATTACCCGAGACGCAGCCCGGGCACTTTTACCAATGTAATTGACTTGTCTGCTCGGTTATTTTCCACCCAGCCTTGGCACCAGCCAAAGTACTTCACCAATTTAATATTGAATCGGCTCTATTATTTGACATGCAGCCTGGGCACTTTTATCGATTTAATTCACTTGTCTGCTCGGTTGTTTTCCACCCAGCCAAAGTACTTCAACAATTTAATATTAAACAGGTTCTATTATGCGAGACGCAGCCTGGGCAATGTTACCAATTCAATTCATTTGTCTGCTCGGTTATATTTCACCCGGCCTCGGCACCAGTTAAAGTACTTCAACAATTTAATATTAAATCGGCTCTATTACCCGAGACGCCAGCCCATGCATTGTTACCGATTTAATTCACTTGTCTGCTCGGTTATTTTCCACCCGGCCTCGGCACCAGCCAAAGTACTTCACCAATTTAATATTAAATTGGCTCTATTATCCAAGACGTAGCCCGGGCACTTTTGCTGATTTAATTCACTTGTCTGCTCGGTTGTTTTCCACCCAGCCAAAGTACTTATCAATTTAATTCACTTGCCTGCTCGGCTATTTTTTACCCGGCCTCGGCACCGGCTAAAGTACTTCAACAATTTACTATTAAATCGGCTCTATTACCTGAGACGCAGCCTGGGCACTTTTACCAATTTAATTCACTTGTCTGCTCGGTTATTTTCCACTCGGCCTCGGCATCAGTTAAAGTACTTCACCAATTTAATGTTAAATCAGCTCTATTACCCGAGACATAGCCTGGGCACTTTTACCGATTTAATTCACTTGTCTGCTTGGTTATTTTTCACCCGGCCTCGGCACCAGCCAAAGTACTTCACCAATTTAATATTAAATCGGCTCTATTACCCAAGACGTAGCCTGGGCACTTTTACCGATTTAATTCACTTGTCTGCTCGGTTATTTTTCACCCGGCCTTGGCACCAGCCAAAGTACTTCAACAATTTAATAGTAAATCGGCTCTATTATCCGAGACTCAGCCCGGGCACTTTTACTGATTTAATTCACTTGTCTGCTCGGTTATTTTCCACTCGTCCTCAGCACCAGTTAAAGTACTTCACCAATTTAATATTAAATCGGCTCTATTACCCAAGACGTAGCCTGGGCACTTTTACCAATTTAATTCACTTGTCTGCTTGGTTATTTTTCACCCAGCCTTGGCACCAGCCAAAGTACTTCAACAATTTAATAGTAAATCGGCTCTATTTAGTGTTTGAAAGTCCGGTTCGGTCCGGTTTTTTGATGCCCAGGGGCGTTAACCGTAACCGTAACCGGTCTGCCTTTTCCCCAGAAGTCAAAAGACCAGACCAGACCGCAAAAAGACCGCAGACCGCGGTTTTTTGCGGTCTATAGACCGGTTTCGGTCTGCATCAGTTTTAACCGGTTTATGACCGGTCTTTAGGCCAATATTTTAAAATTATGAATCGGTAAATTTATTAACATCTCTAATAGCTTCAAAACGAGCCCAAGAACGTTAAATTCCGTTAGGTATTGGTGCTTCTATAAAATAAGTCTGGTACATCTATTATTCCCAAAAGTAATTTACATTTTAATTCATATCTCTCTCGTTTTTTTACCAAATCGTACGTTCTTGGGTGCGTTTTAAAGGGTATTTAAGGGGCTACAAAAAACCGGTCCAAACCGGTCAAGACCTGTTCACGTTAACCGGTCTTTTTGCGGTCTTTACATTTCAAAAATAAAAGACCGTAACCGCAGGTCCGGTCTTTTGCGGTCTTGGTCCGGTCTGGTTACGGTCTTTTTCCAGTCACGAGACCGGACTTCCAAACACTAGCTCTATTATCCGAGACTCAGCCCAGGCACTTTTGCTGATTTAATTCACTTATCTGCTCGGTTATTTTCCACTCGGCCTTGGCACCAGCCAAAGTACTTCACCAATTTAATATTGGATCGGCTCTATTATCCGAGACATAACCCGGGCACTTTTACTGATTTAATTCACTTGTCTGCTCGGTTATTTTCCACCCAGCCTCGGCACAAGCCAAAGTACTTCAACAATTTAATATTAAACATGTTCTATTATGCGAGATGCAGCCTGGGCAATGTTATTGATTTAATTCACTTGTCTGATCGGTTGTTTTCCCAGCCCTTTGAAAGTACTTCAACAATTTAATATCACCCGATGTGCAGCCCAGGCATTTTTACCAATTTCATTCACTTGTTTGCTCGATTATTTTGCATCCGGACATGGCACCAGCCAACGTACTTCAACAGTTTGGGATTTAAATGCCTGCATCACCCGATGTGCACCTTTACTGATGTAATTCATGTCTGCTTGGTGTAATTTCACCCGGACATGGTGCCAGCTCACACATCCTTTCCCTGAAAAATGCACTGGCCCAGACACAATGATTTAATATGGAATCGGCTCAATCACTCAAGGTGAAACCCGGGTATTTGTACTATTTCCCACTTGTCGGCTCCATTATTTTGCATCTGAACATGTTTGATTGGCTGTTTCCATGCATTTATACAGATTCAATGACCTTGTCTGCTCAGTAACTTTGCACCAGAATACAGGACCAGCTAATGTACTCACTGGCCTGATGCAAACATAAAACCAGAGGGTGATTTTGAATGCAGCACATGGCAAAGAACACTGGGGGGTTGGTACAACATATGAACAAGTAAACTTAGTTAGGCCATGTGTTAGCCAGGCTGGCTATCATCACGGGACAGATGGCAACATAAATTGTTTAATTGGAGACAAGCCAAAGAATGGTAGGGAGTGTGGTGCCGACTGGGCCAGGCCATATCCAGGCTGGAGATGGCAACAGATGGGGGCCAGCCTCATCTCTGCTTGGGGCTCACAATGAGATTCATGACCTCGGGTATGTAAACTGACTTTGCTGAGCCAGGGTGCGGCAAGTGGGCTGATCCATATTGTGAGGAATCAAAAGCTGTTCAGCTGACCCACAATCCAAGGCAATTTCAGCAGGGTCAATTCATCATTAGGCTGGTCGGCCGGCACACAGAACCACTCCTCAAGAAGATATGGGTGGCCGAGCCAGCTTTGATGGGGTCAACATATACATCGGCTCATCAGCAGGCACCATCAACCATGGCCTGTTTGTATGGTCAGGGGGCTCAGTGTTGTTGGGGTAAGGTCACTAATACTTGTGGCGTTACGCGCTGCGGAGATGGCCATTACCGACGTGTGGTCTATGGCCTTGGACCCTACATTGCCGACTACCCAGAACAAGCTCTGCTTGCATGCATTGTTCAGGACTGGTGTGCAAAGTAAGTGAAATAGTTTTGGACATAATCTCCCACTGACAGATTAATTTAGGTGTACAGCACCTTCCGACAATTTGGACGGTCCGATTGGGGGTCGCCGTTCCCAGGCTCTCACTGATACCTTACTCGAAGGCTGCACGCTGAAAGAGTTATGGGATGACTATGGTATTGTTGGCGACGTTATTGTACGTCATCCTTATCTTGCTTGTGCAATCTTTTCAATAATGATATTTAGCTAGTGTTTAAAGGTTCAGTTCAGTCCGGTTTTTTGCCCCGAAAACGCGCAACCGTGGACCGCAACCGGTCCAGGACCGACCCAGATATTGAGGGAACCGAACCGAACCACCTAGGACCGGTCTTTTGTGGTCCATGATACCGGTTCAGACCGATCCAGACCGGTTTTTTTGCGTATAATTTATTATATCAATATAAACCATTTGTATCTCAACCATTATTACTCTGAAAAATAAACGGGCTATATAAAATGGTAAAGCATATAAATACCCATCATTCTACCAATTGTCAAGAGATTTAATGAAGATTTGACATAGCTATGACTGAAACTGAATTACATCTCCTAGAGACTTGGGCAAAATATGGATTTGGTTATATCTTTCTCAATTCTTAACCGTTTTTGATGAAACAAAAACCCCATAAAAGGCAATAAACGTGGTTACAAGGCTATGTAACGCACGTAACCGTTTAACCGGTTGCAACCGATTAAAACCGGTCTTTGAACGGTTTTAAAAGATTTTCGAAATGAGGCAACCGGCAACCGGACCAACCCCAAATTGGGGCAACTGCAACCGAAAAAAAGACCGGTCCATGGTCCAGTTCAGTTCGGTCCACTGGTTTTTTGCAGTCCTATGGACTGAACCTTTAAACACTATATTTAGCCATTTACGGACTCCTTTCCTCATGCAGATATACACGAGTTGATAGCACCCAACCTCCTTCATCAGGTCATCAAGGGTACATTCAAGGACCACATCGTTGATTGGGTGACACAGTACATCAAAGAATCACACCCGAAAGCTCGTGCGGCGGAAATCCTTGCTGACATTGATCGACGGTAGGTGTCCATCTGCTCCGTTCTTTATGTGTGATTCTCATCTGTATGTGTAGGATTGCAGTTGTGCCGACATTTCCCGAGCTGCGTCATTTTCATGAAGGGCGGGGTTTTAAGCAATGGACAGGGGATGATTCGAAGGGGTTAATGAAGGTATGAATATCAGATTAATTCAACCATGTTCTTGTTGATGTAACTTCGATCTTCGCAGGTCTATCTGCCTGCAATTGCGGGTCACGTCCCTTCACAAATGGTTCAAGCAGTGCGGGATAGGGACTGTCACAGATAGGCTAATCCCGGGTAAACCCGAAATCCACCCATATTTGGGCTCAACTGATGGATTCAGGTAACTACCCAGACTATCTGCAGGTATCCGTGGGTAAATTATATATTTTTAGACCTCTTTGGGATATTTTAAGTGTAGGCAATAAAAACTGCAGAATAGGCCAAAACCAGTGTTCCCCCAATATATTTGCTCTCAATTTCTAAGTTTGGTGATGGAATTGTACATCCATCATATGCATAAAACAAACTTACAATAGAAAAAGGGATCAGGTCCAAAAAATGAATGAATAAATATGATCTAAACTCATATTTAGAATATGTTGAACTTCCTGGGCCAAGATTTTAGCGTATTCTGAATATGAATTCAGATTATATTTAATTGTTCATTTTTTGGATCTGATCCCTTTTTTTATTGTAAGTTTGTTTTATGCATATGATGGATGTACAATTCCATCACCAAACTTAGAAATTGAGGGCAAATATATCAGAACAAAAGAGATTACAGTGTATCCTGCAGTTTTGAGAGCATATGTTTCTACATATGTAGCCCTACATATTTGTCACTGTCTCAAGTGTCAAATGGTTTCAAGACCATGGTCATGATGTCCAACAAATCAAGTCTATAAAAAGTATAGTATGTGATTACTGAGACAGTGTATATGCAGGTGAAGAGGAGAATGAGCTAAGAGGGGAGGAAAACAAGGTAATTGGTAAAAATATCTTTGAAATCCTGTTATTGAATTCAATTTTTAGCCAAAGCAATCACAATATGCACCAAAAGAAAATCAGTTTGTCAAGGACCACATTCAGGCTTACCTTGATGAACCCAGGGTAGCAACGGAAACAATCAAGGAAATGGGAGGTTATATGATGTACTGGCACAATGCATCACAGTCCTGACCACAACTCTCACAAATGGGTTCTGATTTCTGCTCAGCCCCAGGTAAGCACCATTATTCACACTTATGTTCCTTTATTTTCAACAATTGTTGCAGCTACTTCTGTGGATGCAGAGTGAGCATTTTCCACTGGCCACCGCCAGATCAATTTCACCCAGCACAATATTAACTCTCAAACATTCAGAGCGGAAATGGCTCTCAGATCCTGGATTAAATCCCCCCTCTACCCAGGCTTCAATAAAGTTATGCAAATGATTGAAAAAAAGATGGACAATGATTTCTTTTTGTAACACTTTATGTCACCAAAATTGTTCTTTCAATACCTCTACATAAATATCAATTGTTCTCAAAGGCATTTCTCTGAAACTGAAAATAAATACTCTCAAGATGGCCAAGGCATGCTAATACACACCCCAAAACACACTCTGTGATCAAGGCTCAGTTACAGCAGCATTATATAAAGGGAAAGACCTCAGATTATGATATATAAATAACTTTAGTTTTACTGTACTCAATCTAGATCATATATGAATGACTTTTATTTTAATATGAATTCTTCTGAATTCGCT